CAGGCACCTGCAATCCCAGCTACTTGGGTTGCTGAGGCAGAAGAATCGCTTTAACCTGGGAGATGGAGGTTGCAGTGAGCCAAGATTGTACCACTGCACTCCAGCCTGGGCGACAGAGCGAGACTTGTCTCAAAACAAACGAACGAACCAAACCAGATCTCCATTTCTCAATGACTTATGGCCCTTGAAGTGAAGGCGGCAGGACCTTTTGGGCCTCCAGTTATAAGCAGCAAACCACATTTATCCATCAAACTTCACAGTAAGCTCCTAGCTGCCCTGCCCAGGGAGAGGGCCTGACAGAGGGGTACCATGTGTCCAGGGGTTCACTGAGGAACTGTCTACCCATGCCCTACAATCAGCACAGCACCTGGCCTGAAATGATGGATTTGGAGACAGCTTCTGGGCAGGATGCATACTACAGGGCTCCCCTTTTTAAAAATTAGGAATTATTCCTAGCAAGTTACGTATATTAGAAACTGTTATAAGAAAAAATTACCTCAAACATTCACAGCATTAAACGAATAGGACAAGGTCAGAAAGCGAGGTTTTTCTTCTTTTTACTGGTTTATAATAATCTTAAAAACCCCATCACACCCATAAACCACCACAGGTGAGAGAGATGGAGAATGAATGCTACAGTATGTGGATACAGTGGGGAATCCAGGTATTCCCTAGGGTAGTGTGGGATGGAGACAGGGAGTGTGGAGAGGAGGCCCTGGCTTGGACCCTTATTGCTGGCTGGGGGTTGGCTGGCAGAGGGAAGAGGGACTCAGGCTGAACTGCGAAATAGGGAACATCTCACACCAAAGGCGAGGGCAGTTGGGGGCAGGGGGATCACAGTACATTTTCCATGCAGACTAGGGGTGGGAGTGAGAGCTTCAGAGACTTGCACCCCTACACAGGAAGAGATGGGTTTGAGGTTGTTTGACTTAAAGCCCCCAAGTTGGTGTCTGGTCCAATTTCCTAAAATGGCAGCTCACCTTTCAGGGAGAGGTATTGGGGAGAAAAAAAAAATACAGCAAGAGTATCTTTTGGAGATCAAGCAAGGGATAGGGGGAAGACAGTGGTGCTCTTTAAATCTGACTCAGAAAAGCAGGAACTGGAAGAGGGCCCTGGGTGAGGTGATGGCCAATACCGTGGGAGAAGGCATTGAGCCGGAAGCTGCAGGTGCTCCTGAGGGCTCAGGACAGGGAGGTACCAGTGTTCACGGACAGCAGGAAAACAACTGGGAACAATAAATTAGGACTTCATGTTGCTATCATTTGGCATAACACAATCAGACTTTTTTTTTTCCTTTTCCTTTTTCTTTTTAAATATAAGGCAACTTGCCAACACATAATTTAAAAACTGGTCTCCAGTCACATTGCTTCAGATCACTAGAGAACTTCTGGCTAAAGAACAGTAGTGGATTGTGAACAAAATGCAAAATCTTAAATAAGAACCATTAGCTCACATTCTCCAGAGACAAGAGGAAAGGTAAGGGCTTATTTCATCTTTTAAAAAAAAAAAGCCCAACGCTGCATCTTTAACAGAAGGGTACAAAAATTTATAACAAAATAATTGAATTTTAAAGTTACAGAAAAGTATTAAATTTCTAGCCAACTAATTGTCCTTGGAGATGAGACACAATGAGCAGGGAGTGGATAAGGGTATGCTCTAAGAATGGACAGAGGGCAGGAGGGGCTGTTTCCAATGCAGGCTCTTCTCCAGGTGTTAGAACCATGCTCACTTGGTAAAGGAAGTATTCAAAGAGCTTAAGGCTTTTTTTTTTTTTTTTTTTTTTTTTTTTTCACTAAACTGAGGGGCTGCATTAGAGGGTGAATTTACCTGCAGTGCCACTCACACACAATGCTACTCACACCCACACTGCATTCATACAGAAATGTAACATTTAAAACTTACAGTGTAGAGCAATATTCTTAGCCAGTGTAGAGAGAACCAAATGCATTTTTTTTTTTTTTGGGTGTTTAATCCCAAACTCCAATGTGATAATTCCTTACCTGCCTAATTCCTCAAGTAAGGTAGATTTTATTTGTTTTGTTTTGTTGATGGGGAAAGGATAGGGGCTGTGGGCAACAGGTGAGTTAGGGGACAGGCAACAGTGAGAAAGGGATCTTGGGTATGCTGAAAAGTCACTGTGTTTTTCTAGGTTTGGAAAGGGGAATCTGGAACCAAGATGCCAATACAAAGATTCCACCCCCTCCCCCACATATCTCAAGAAATGGTCAAATACCTGCAAGATGCCCTTGGGGTCGAGTGTGGCAAGGGCAAGTGCAGTGGCTGCGGGATCAATGTAGTTACACAACAAAGCCTTGAGGAATGGAAAGGAACTCGAAGGATATGAAGACTGGGTCAGCTTTGATTTGAGATCTTTGGGTGAATAAGGAATTAGCTTCCAGAGCACTTGGGAAATCTTGCTTCTTAGTCCTGGGGGAGGCGGGGAGGGGGAAGGGAAGAGCAACAGGTAGAGGCCTGGCTTTGGGGCCTGAGCACCTACACTATCTCAACTAGGGCATTCCCTCAGCCCACACCTCAGTTGTCCTAAGGGAAACAGGCAGAGGTTCAAAACAAGATGGGTGGGAGCCGGCTGGAAATGGTCAAGGTGGAGAGATGAGCTGACAGGCAGGCAATGGAGAGGAAAGCCTGGGCTTGGGGTTAGGTTCTAACATAAAACCAAAAGTTGCCGGAGGGGAAGATGAGAAGACTCCTTCTGTCCTGTTAGATTCCACCAAATTCCCTTTCTTAGACATCTGAGAATGATCACATTGGAGCAGTGAAACTTTCAAACTATCCAGTTACTTAAAAGACTAAACCTAGGAGGGTGACATATGATGTGTTGCACGTGGAGGGCACCAGGGCTACCTATCTATACCCTGGGTGCTGAATATGAAGACTTCGACTATCTGTGGGATCAGGGGCTCGGTTGCCAGGGGCTCGGTGGGCCTTGTTCAGCATGGCTAGGCTCTGTTCTCGGAAGCAGGCCTGCTGGAAATCCCCACTTAGGTAATCCACTGTTTGCATCAAGCTGTTCTGGCTTGCCACTGGACCGCCCCCGGTCCCTGCTCGGTAGTGGGCCCCAGGAGCAGCCGCACAGTCGAGGGGTGCACCTGTGGGCTGCCCACCGTGGAACGGCATGGCGAGGTCCTGAGACCCCGAGCTGTCGCTATTGGGAGTGGGCAGAATGTTGTTCCACAGGGGTTGGAAGTAGTGACCATTGGGGTAGGCCAATGGGGCTGCCAGGCCGTTGACTGGTGGGGATGGGGTCGGCTTTTCCAGGGGTGGCTTCAGATGGAAGGACTGTGCCAGGCAGAGTTCCTGCGGGTAGGCAGGGGCCTTGCCCACAAAGCCAGGCCCTGCCAACTCGCGTCCTGCCGCATGCTTGCCTGTCAGGCCAGGGGCTGGCGTCCCACCAGCCTCGTTGCACATCTGTTGTAGGTGGGCCAGCTGGTGCTGGTTCCAGGTGACTGGCTTGAGGTCGCTAGGGTAGCCAGTGGGGGCGCGAGAGATGCCTGTGGGCAGGTTAACAGGACCTGCAGCAGGCAACGCGGCGGTGGCCGCATGGGTGTGCTCCATGGGATTGACCACACATGAAGGCATTGGTGTGGGGACGCTGTGGGTTGACACCCGGGTGCTTGCATTGATGAGCAGACTGCGACTAATGGGGCTGGGGTTGGCGATCTGGCCCTCACACACTGAGGTAGTGCTGATGCCTGCCCTCGTCTGGCAAAACTGGTTGATCTGGTGCACGATGCTACTCAGGTCCGGGGGCTGGCTGTGCTGCAGGGTGGCCGCCATTGAAAGGGGGATAGTTGAGGTAGACACGGTCACATTCGGGGGGGCATCTGAGTCTGGCATCTTCCGGCCTCCATGCAGCAAGGGATTATGGGGGTGCTGGAGACCCTGGTGCGCCAGGGCCTGAGGGTGGACCAAACCCTGGGTTTGGGCCATGGGCTGAGGGTGGCCCAGGCCCTGAGGCTGCTGGAGGCTCTGAGGGTGGGACAGTGCCTGGGGTGGTGGGATACCCTGAGGGTGCTGCAGCGTCTGGGGAGGGGCATGGGCCAGGGTCTGTGCATGCTGCAGGGCCTGCTGGCGGGCCAGAGCCTGGGCCTGGGGGTGGGCTAAAGTGCTGGGTGCCACAGTAGCATAGGGTGCCACTGGGGGGTTCATGATGGCCTCAGGGAGCAACCGGGCTCGGGTGCCGTCAAAGTCCTTGAGTATGCTTTTGGCTGGCACTTTGACAATGGCAAGCAGGCCTGCCTTGGTGGCAGCCTGCGTCGGATAGGGGCTGTAGCGCTGGGCTGATGTGTCGAGGCCGTTCACAGTACGACGAACGTGTTTCCGCTGGGGAACCTTCACACTGTTGGGGAAGATTTTTATAGTCAGTGGGTTGTTTGCGACCTTCTTAGCATATGCATCCAATTCGGCTGGGGTAGGATAGTGAGCAGTTCTCATTTTCTGTGTAGTGTCCCCTAGAGAGAGAGAATGGGAAGGAGAGCAAAGAGGGAGAGGGAGCTCATCAGTGCCAAGCCAACCAGCCCTTCTAGACTTCCCTATTGAGGGCCTAGGGTGGGATGGGGAAGTGACTAGGTTATCATCTGTAGCCTTCATTCTAGACCCAGCTTCAGTCTTCACATTAACAAGCACTGCTAACGTTCAGTAAGTGCCTAAAGTGGACCAGGCCTTGCGCTAAGTGACAGGCCATCTCAGTGAATCCTCACTATTGCTTTAGAAGCAGGCACTAGTATCATTCCCATTTTATAAATGAGCTAACAAGAGATCAGAATAGCAAAGCAGCTTTCGAAGTCTCATCTTGGAGAATCGGAACTTGGCCAATACTCAGAGAGGTAACCAAGAGTTCTCCCACTACATAGAAATGCAGGGTCACTGGGCACAGTGGCTCATGCCTATAATTTCAGCACTTTGGGAGGCCAAGGCGGGTGGATCACCTGACGTCAGGAGTTCGAGACCAGCCTGGCCAACATGGTGAAACCCTGTCTCTACTAAAAATACAAAAATTAGCTAGTGGTGTGTGCCTGTAATCCCAGCTACTGAGGAGGCTGAGGCAGGAGAACTGCTTGAACCTGGGAAGTGGAGGTTGCAGTGACTCGAGATTGTGCAACTTCACTCCAGCCTGGGCGACAGAGAGAGACTCCACCTCCAAAAAAAAAAAGCAGGGGCCAGGCACAGTGGTTCACACCTGTAAGCACTTTGGAAGGCCAAGGTGGGCGGATCACCTGAGGTCAGGAGTTTGAGACCAGCCTGATCAACAAGGAGAAATCCCATCTTTACTAAAAATACAAAATTACTCGGACGTGGTGGCGCATGCCTGTAATCCCACTACTCGGGAGGCTGAGGCAGGAGAATCACTTGAGCCTGGGAGGTGGAGGCTGCAGTGAGCTGAGATTGTGCCATTGCACTCTAGCCTGGGCAACAAGAGCAAAACTCCATCTCAAAAAAAAGAAAAAAAAAGAAATGCAGGGTCTGTGCTGGGCATGGTGCCTCACACCTGTATCCCCAGCACTTTGGGAGGCCGAGGCAGGCAGATCACCTGAGGTCAAGAGTTCCAGACCAGCTTCGCCAACATGGCAAAACACTGTCTCTACTAAAAATATGAAAATTAGCCAGGCGTGGTGGCCGGCACCTGTAATCACAACTACTTGAGAGGCTAAGGCAGAAGAATAGCTTGAACCCACGAGGCTGAGTTTGCAGTGAGCCAAGATTACACCACTGCACTCCAGCCTGGGTGACAGAGCAAGGCTCCGTCTCAGGGAAAAAAAAAAAAAAAAAAGAGAGAGAAACACAGCGTCTGGAACTCTACCAGCCCATGCAGCCTGACGGTAGAAGGTTCTAAGCAAAGCTACTTGCCAGGGCCCTTGGTTGCCCTTCAGTCTAGAGAGAACCCAGAGCTACAACTCTGCAGTCTGCAGTGACCAATGAGGCATCAGCTTTCCCTTGCATCTTGGCAGCTGGGGGGCTGTGCCAACTGGGTGGGCACCCTGACAGAGTGGACAGAATGCTTCCTTTCAGGAGCAGAGGAATAAGCTGCCAACATCTCTCCCCTTCCCCATGTCACAAGTTCACTTTTGTTTACAGTTTATGCCTGGCTGGGTGAGGATCAAAGGCTTTATTTATTTCCTTGAGAAGGATGGTAATAATGACAGGACAGCAGGGAAGGGAATTGAGAAGAAAGGATTCAGAGCATCTTTCAATCCTAAGAGCCAAAAATAGCGTGTATTTGGTCCATATTAGCTGTCACTTTCCAAAAAGAAAGAGGAAAAACCTGCCTTCCTTTGGAGACTGCGGAAATGCCCACTCGGTGTGCCTCATTAATGTTAAGAGTCTTTGTTCCCATCTCCTGTTGCCTCCCATCAGGGGGCTCAGCGGATGTCCGGCTTCCAGTCAAAAAGGAAAAGGTTCCAAGAACAAGGGCTCTTTAAGGATGCCAAGCTCCTGCAAGGGGGCTGGGGCTCTGCTCTACTTTCTCTCTCTCTGAGGGAGGGTCTCCCCTGAGTTTACACAAAAGGTGCTTAATAAATGCTTGCTGACTGAGTACATAGACTGTCCAAAGCAGAACTGGCTTGGCTGGGAGCCCAGGGTTAGCTAGCTGACTCTCTCCCTACTTCCTCCCCTTGCAAAAGGCAGCCAGACTAATCTGACTGAATGCCCAGCTTGTGGCCTCAGGTGGCCTTGGCCCAAAGGAGACCCCATTCAAAGTCATGTCACTGGGTATCACCTAGAACAGAGGTAGGCTAGTGAGCATATTAGAGGGATAACGGGTACAGCTGCCTTTATTAGGTGATAATGATGTTTAGCAACAGCTTAGAAACTCCTGTTCTGGGAAGCAGGAAAATAAAGCTCAAGTCAGGAGGGGCAAGAGAGATTTGGGCCCATGCTCACAGGCAGATCTGAGCAAAAAATAGCCAGACATCCCAACCCCCAAAAAAAGATCTGGGCTTTCAAATACTGGCAAAAATGTCTGGGATCATTGACTGAGAGACAGTCCCTAAACTCAAGACACCAGAATTCCAAAAGAAACTGCCTTGGTCAACCACTGTACCTATGTGTCTTATTGGTTAAAATTTCATATGATACTCCTAGCACAGCGCCTTAAACTCACCCCACCTTCATGCCGGTGGGCTTCTCTCCTTGAAATCCAAGTAGGAGTCATATGGTACCTTGTTGAATAGAAGAGCCCCTTTGTTCTGAGTCAGTACCAACTCAGGTTTTTCCTAGCAGAGGCAAGGGGAAAGCTTGGCCTCATTCAGGAGTATGGAAGGGGACATTTATCCACATTGATTAGTTCTCTTGGTGCCGCCTCCACTGATATTGACAGTGGTGAAGAGGGCAGTCAAAGAATTCAGAATTAAAGTGAAATGAGGGCAGGGAGGGTACAGTAACAAGGCTACAGTAGCTTTGTTAAGGAAGAACCCCAAAGATTAGTACAGTGTACTGAACAAAAAAGGGGTGTCACTCTGGGAATACAGCACTATCTACCTCACATACCAGACTTAAGCCTAACCCTTAAAAAAAAAAGTTTTCTCAACACTTATCACAGCCCCACACAGGCACCCTGACCATTTATTTTCTTCTGTAACCTATTTCTGTAATTGCACAGCCAGCACAGACACCGCAGCTTTGTGAGCAACTTACTTAAATATCTTGTACCAATGGTGTCACTAATAGAGACATAGAGAATGTAGGAAATAGGAAATCTGTAAAGTTAGAGAAACCTGTATTCAAGTACTAGCTTTACCATCTGCCCATACTGAGAGCCTGTCATTCCTCAATTATCAACAGGGATGAATTCTGCTTTCCTACTTCACAGACTTACTAAGGTCAAGAGATTCAAGGAACACTGTCACTGAATGAGCATTTTCATTTCAATGTGAACAGGAACTATGATGGTCAATAGTTGCTATTCAAGGATAGCAGATGTGCTGAGTCTGACCACAGGCAACACAAAGCAAACTGACTAAAGAATCCCTAACTGCAGGACCCCTGGCCTTCAGCCTAAGTTAAATGTAACAGAAAGCACTGTTGTCTATTCCAGCGACTGGAAGAAAATTTCTCCTTGAAATCCAGTCCTCCCAATGGAGACCTCTCTGTTCATCCTTCTATTTTGAAGGTCAAAGGGCACAGGTGGCATATGCAGCAGGAACCTCCATCTGTAGGAAGAGGCACAGGCACTGTGTTTCAAACACAGATTTTGGAGTCTGAGCTGAGTATGAATTCTAGTCCAATCACTGGACAGTCATGTGGCATTGGCAATTGACACATCTTCTATGCCTTATCCTTGTAACAGAGTCTCCCATATGGAACTTCTGAGGAATGAGTGAGAACATATGTGAAAATATTCAATATAGTGCTTGGCACATGGTAGCAACTTGACAAATGCTAAGTATTATTTCTATGAGTCTATAGAGTTATTGGGTCAATTTCCCATTTCCAGGCCCCTCCACTAGGGGGCACATAGGCATATAAAGAAGCAGTAAAAGAAGGTGATTTTGGCATTTGTCCCAGGACCCTGAGTGCTCTGCCATGGAAGGAGGTCAAAATTGTTATCTAAAGATGGTTTAACGACCAAGGACCTGTTACCATCTCAGCCATTCAAACAGTAAATATTTACTGAGCCACTACTATATTGTGATCCTGAGGAGGAGAAATACAGAGCAGAGGTTTGGGATTAAGAAAGAAAAAATTTCTTAATATTGAAGAATTTGGCTAAAAGAAAAAAGAAAAGAAAGAAAAAGAAGGAGAAAAGTTCAAAATCACACATTTTCTGAGGCATTGGGGTAAGATGGGTCAGATTAAAACAAAATTTCCACGTACAAAGTTTCAAAATGGCTAAGGACTCTCCAAGCAAGTTACGTCATGGAATATATGATTGAGAAAAGCTCTAGGAAGCCATCCATCTAACCTCAACTAACCTAACCCCAACCCAAGATGTTCTTTAATCCATTCAGCCTGCCCTCTGGCAAATCACAAATCTGGGTTAGGAAGAACATTACACTCTCCTACACACATAGAAAAGGAAGAGGAAAACAGAACAAGTTATAAGGGATCACTCCTGTGATTCTGAATATATGGCAGCTGAAGCCTGGGGAAAAGCCATTAGCTAGGTAACTTACAGTGCTGGGGAAAGAAGCCACATTTCCCATCTCCTGATCCCTGGGGTCCACCAATACTGCCTCATGCTGACTGTATTTATACTATAAAGCATACTGAACTGTAAACACCCATGCCCATCCCACTCCACCAGACATCACGTTTTGTGTTTCTAGCAACTTATAAGACCCTCCTGTGGACAGAGGGTAGGGAATGGCTGATAGCATTATCACAAAACTGTTTTTAAGGTCTCTATTGCTGATGGGCCTGGGCTCTGAGCAGCTGCCTGGCTGCTGGTTCCCAAAGGGGGCAGTTTATGCTCTATCTCACCTTAACTGTAAATGCTTAATGCTAACAGCTATAAGTCACATGACATAATTTTTTTCTTACACATTTTGGGGGAGAAAAGAAGACAGCAGACAAGCTTCTTCAAACACAATTAAACTCTTGCTTCTACAAAGGTGTGGGTGTGTTTATGGATAGCAATAAGAGAGCTGGAAGGGATCAAACACTTTGTCTGCGAAACGGACATAGGAGCCTAAAACCAGAGAAGACGGATATCTCAATTCTCAAATCCAGATTTGGGGACAGTGGTTAGCAGAGGCTACTTGGGAGCTGCTTTGGGGAGAAGGCAGTTTTTTTTTTTTTTTTTTTTTTTTTGAGATGGAGTCTCGCTCTGTCACCCAGGCTAGAGTGCAATGGCGTGATCTCAGCTCACTGTAACCTCTGCCTCCCGGGTTCAAATGATTCTCCTGCCTCAGTCCCCTGAGTAGCTGGATTACAAGCACCCACCACTGTGCCTGGCTAATTTTTTGTATTTTTAGTAGAGACAAGTTTTTGCCTTGTTGGCTAGGCTGGTTTTGAACTCCTGACCTCAGGTGATCCACCCACCTCCGCCTCCCAAAATGCTGGGATTACAGGTATAAGCCACCATGCCCAGCCTCTTTTTTTTTTTTTTTGAGGCAGAGTCTCACTCTTGTCACCCAGGATGGAGTACAATGGCACGATCTTGGCTCACTACAACCTCGTCCTCCCGGGTTCTACGATTCTCCTGCCTCTGCCTTCCGGGTTCTAGTGATTCTCCCACCTCAACCTCAGGATTACCGGCACCTGCCACCATACCCGGCTAATTTTTGTATTTTTAGTAGAGACTGGGTTTCACCATGTTGCCCAGGCTGGTCTTGAACTCTCGACCTCAGGTGATCTGCCTGCCTCGGCCTCCCAAAGTGCCGGGGTTACAGGCATGAGCCACCAAGGCACAGTAACACCTGTAACACATGAGGTCGGGAGTTCAAGACCAGCCAGGCCAACATGGTGAAACCCTGTCTCTATTTAAAAATACAAAAATTAGCTTGGGGTGGTAACACATGCCTATAATCCCAGCTACTACTCAGGAGACTGAGGCAGGAGAATCTCTTGAACTCGGGAGGTGGAGGCTGCAGAGAGACGAGGTTGCGCCACTGCATTCCAGCCTGGGCAACAGAGTGAGACTCTGTCTCAAATAAATAAATAAAATAGAACAAAAAGTGCACACCAAGATAAAGCTGCCAATTTGCTTTTCCTTCAAATGGCTCTTCCCTTGATATCACATCTTTGGGTAAAGCTGTCAGAGTGTGTTAAGAGAGCAAGCTTCTCTTTGTCATCTTATTGTACGCCTCTAAGTACATTCCCTCTCCAGTTGTACCCCCAGAAGCCCAGAAATAGGCAAAATGTAGTTAGGATGCTGATTTGGATGGCCAGGGAGTATAACATAACACCTTCATCACCCAATCATCACTTATTAAGATAAAGGCTGGGTTGAGAAAGCTATAGCAGAGCTTGCCTTGTTGTGTCAAGCAACTGTGGAAGGAAGACTACCACCTTCAGCTGTTATTACACAGAGCTGGATTCACTGTCCAAATCCCAGAAGTAGTCAGGCTGTGAGCCTTATGCTCCCTCAAAGAAATGAAGTCCAGAGGCTGGACCATTTTTAACTTCTGATGGTGATCTCACAGGGCAGGGGCTGGCAAACGACAGCCTGCGTGCCCAGTCCAGTTGCTTGTTTTTGTAAAAAGTTTCATTGGAACACAGACACCCTTATTTGTTTGTTGTCTATGGCTGCCTTTGCCCTACAATGTCAGAGTAGAGTAGATGCAACCGAGACCACATGGCCCATAAAGCTAAAATTATTTGCTATCTGGCCTTTACAGAAAGTTTGTTAACCCTTGTTGCAAAGGGTTTAGGTAAGGTGCTGAAGCACCTTTTCTATCAAAGAGAAGGCTAGTGGCCTCACTGATTGCCCCTTTGTGCTCTGCATGGAAGGTCTATTTCAAATTTAGGGCTGTTTTTACACCTGAAGATACTATACGTGGTAATGTGCCAAGAATAGAATCTTCTCCTTGCATATCATGTAGTACAGGGAGAGAAGGAAGGAGTCTGGGAAAATATGAAGTATAAGGTCCCCATTTCAGCCAGTTAAGACAGGAATCTAACAGTTTTCAAAGGCTCAATCTTGTGGGAAGTGTATTAGCAGGAAAATGCCCAGGGAGAATGAGGAAGCTGGCTCTCCATCTCTTCTGAGGGCAAAAGCTCCTTTACTTCCTACCAACTAAAGTCACACTGGCTCAGAAGGCAGACAGCAAAGCCAAAGGGAACTGTTTCCATGACAGACTATACTCACAGTTCAAAACAGGAGAACAGCATAGTTTATTTCAGAGTTTTCATTCAATATGAATGAAAAAAAAACTATGAGTTTTCATTCAATTCCTTGTGAAGGTTCAAAATGAAACACCTTTTTTAAGAGTGATATATATATTTCCTCTGAAGCTCTTTATAGTTTTGTTGCTCAACAGAAAGCTATTAGCAACAATTAAAATTGACATATATTGGGGAATTACAGCATTTAAGAAGACCCCTACCGCCTGGCCATAGTGGCTCACACCTGTAATACCAGCACTTTGGGAGGCCAAGGCAGGCAGATCACCTGAGGTCAGGAGTTCAAGACCAGCCTGGCCAACATGGTGAAACCCTGCCTCTACTAAAAATATAAAACTTAGCTGGGCATGGTGGCGGGCACCTGTAATTCCAGCTATTCGGGAGGCTGAAGCAGGAGAATTGCTCGAACCCAGGAGGTGAAGGTTGCAGTGAGCTGAGAT